TATTTTGAGCACCTAGTATGTTGGGCATACTTAAGTTAAGGGAAAACCCTATTTTTAGGATTTGGACCCTATCATTCAAAGACTATTTTACACCTACATTTTCAAATTGGCATGAAGTAGTCAACTATCTTCAATACGGGATGCCTAAGATAGGATAAAGTTTTGAAATCAGTTGAATCAAAGGGGTATCTCGTGGTAACAATATAAGGTCTCTTTTAAAACTTTTAAAAATGTGAAACTTAAATAGTAATTATCTAGATTACACTATTAATCAATTAAAATTTAAACCAAATGTGATTTTTTAATTAAAGAATTAATTAAATCAATTTAACGCATTTAGAGATTAAATAACTATTTTCAATTAACCAATTAATAAAATAGTTCAATTTTAATCATTATCTAAAAGTAATAGTCGGATAACAAAGATGTAATACCAATGAAAACATTGGGCTAAAGCCTTCTTGAAGGATGTATTCTTTGGACAAAGTGAGAGAATTTATTCATTTTTGATGGGTTTGTTAATTCCAGGACCATGTTGAATGAATTTGTAGTACAATATGATAAAGCAGTTAAATCTCGAAGAGCCGTTGAAGAAGATGAAGACTTCAAGACCATGAACACAAAAGCAGTTTTTCATCTGTTTATTCAATAGAAGAGAAGACGGGTCAATGCTATACTAGAAAGATATTTGAGGTTTTTAAAAAAGAATGAATAGAAACTATGGGAAATTTAACTCATGTGACATTACGCAAAACTATAGAAGAAATTGGATATCGAGTTGGGCAAGTGAAAGTTAATAAAGTACATTGGAGATTTGTTAGCTTCCGGTTCCTGAATCAAGTAAATGTCAAGTGCTCGTGTGCTAAGTTTGAAATGTATGGAGTATTATGCAAGCATAGCATATATGTGCTCAAGAAGAGACATGTTGAAACCCTTCCCGATCATTATATTTTACCGAGATGGACACTCGATGATAGGTTCAAGGTAGGTAATAGCAATATTGGATTGGAAGAAATGAATAACAAAAATGGAGTTAGTGAATTAACCTTATGGTGTGTGCGTGTAAACTATACTAAAGCAATTGAACTAGCAAGAGACCCCCCCTTAAGAGATAAAAAAACTTAACACTTTATTGGTAATGTTTATAAAAGATCAAGTGGTTCAGAAAAAGGCAAAAGGCCATTAGAATGCATCTCAAGAATTTTGCATGGGAATTTCTCAAGTAGACATGATGCCTCAAATTTCTATAAGGGATCCTCTTCTTCCGACATATACCAAAGGTCGCCCTAAAATTGAAAATAGAATTAAGTCTTCACTAGAAGTGGTGAAGAAAAAGAGAACTTGTTCTCACTGTAAGGAATTAGGTCATTATGTCATGGATGTACAATAAAAAAGGTATTATTTATATTTTTTTAATAATTGTAATGGGTCATGTATTTTTCTAATGCTTACTCTTATTTGTATCTGGTGGAGGACGCTTTACAAAGCAAAGAATGATGTTACATTGATGTATTTTGCTTACTTTAATTTGTATCTGTCATTTGATTTTGCCTATTAGCCTACCTGTAGAAACTTTATTTTTGAGACATTGATGGATTGTATTTTTTTTAGAGATGGTTAAGTTTTTAGTTTATGGAATAACACCCCTATTAATAATATACCATCCTTACACACACACACACACACACACACACATATATATATATATATATATATATATATATATATCCCTGTAAACAGTTTAGGAATATAAAAAAAATTGCAGCAATTTGTGGATAATATATTCTTAGGAAAGAGATTAGTAAACGAAATGATAATCAAAATAGAGCAAAAACAAGTGAAATTAATAGCAATATCAACTTCAGATGCCATTATGCATTAAAACTTAAAAGTAAAAGTAGGATGTTCTTTTTGATTAAAACGAGGTGTATTATGGTCTTAAAATACTTTATAATGATAAAGTTGTTATTTTTTGTCAAAAAAGTGTAAGTACACTGCTATTTATGGTTAAAAGTCATAGTACGCTGCTATTTCGTTTCATAATAAGTACGTGGGTTTTAATGAAAAAATATGATCAAGTTGTTATTTTTAATCAAAATGAATAAGTACATTGCTATTTATGGTTAACAGTTCTAGTACGTTGCTATTCTAGTTCATAATGAAGTACATGGGTTTTTATGTAAAAAAAAATATGATCAACTTGTTAATTCTTGTCAAAGAGTAAGTATATTACTATTTATGATTAAAAGTTATAGTACAATGAAAAGTACACAGGTATAAATACATCAGTCATTAGCCAAACAAAACCATAATGGATGTACATTGATATTATTGGTAAAATGTAAATACATGGTCATTTGGCAAACTAATATATGATACACTGATAGATAAAACAACCTCTATCAATATACAGTTTTGGTCTTAATGTCCTCGTGCAACTTCATATTCTGAACACACTTGATCGACACATACAAACACTGTAAAAACTCTTTTCCTTGACACAATGAGAACCCATCAGTTTGTTCCTTGAAAGATCATGCTTGATTATCATCATAATGAACATGATCATTTGATATATCCCCAAAAAGTACAAATATGAATTCCATTGAACTTTCCTTTTTTTTTTTTTCAGTATGTGATGTTCATTCATTTATTCCATGAGACATACTTAAATTTAAGTACAAAAGGTTAACCAGTGAATATATATAGTGGCAAATACATAAATTTAATAGTAAAGGAATTCAAACAAATGTCAAATCCATCACTTGGACCACCAATCAGCCTGGAAGCAATCTTTAATTGTATCTGGCTCAGTTTCTATCATGTTGCCACTATATGCATCCTAATCATTCTTACTGTGAAATAAATACCCAAAATTCATAAATCACAAGAATAAACTGAGTTACAAACATAGAAAAGAGCTTCAACTCAAATTAAAAAACTTCAATTCAAGGCATTGCCATCATATGAACTTAAGACGGGTCGTACAAAACTACAAATAATAAATTAAGAATATGACATTTTGTTAACAATTGAGAAAATAACAAATTTGAATCTTGTCAATGCATTAAAATCAACTCCAACAAACATCAGATAGATATTTTAGTTTAGAAGGCATCAAATTCCTTATATGGAGATTGAAAATTATTCTTAAGCATTACATCAAACACTTGGAAGGCGTCTTTTAACGACCTTTAACACTTACCAATTTATAGCAATAAGACCAATTACCCCGATGAATTAAATCTATTATGAATCAAGGCTGAGATCGATTATGTAAAAAAGAAACAAATTTAACGAAATCCATTTGAAATCCAAACCAAAATCAAAACATAGAAAACCTGACGTTAGGAACTCTGAACATTAATTAAAATTGGGTAGAGATACAAACCGGTTATCATTATTACATGAGGATGTGAGGAAATTAGTGGTAATCAATGCTCAACTGAACCAATGAATGGGTACTCAACCATCAATTTTTCATAGAGGCCCTGTTGATGTTGTTGGAAATAATTACCGGTTCTCCAAAAATCGTTTTCGATGATGGTAGTTTGACAAAGACATGAATGTATAAAACAACAACAAAAGGAAATTTGAGGGGTTAGGGCTTGTTTCGTAAAGCTGGTAGTAGGTAGCGGGTAGCGGATAACGTTTTATTTTGAAATGTTTTATTGAAAGCTACTTCATGTAGCTTTTGATTTTGGAGCGTTTTTAGGTTAAAAGCTAAATATTCCTGTCGCCGAACGAGGCTTTTTCTTTTTTACTAGCGTTTTCTTAAAAGCTAGAACTCAGAAGTTCCCAAACGCTGTGTGCCGAACATCCCTTAATCTCACAGAGGCTCCATCGATGTTGGGAGTCCTTATTCGATGTATGTTCTCCATCAATGATGTAAGTCGTGAAGAAGTAGGGTCGAAGGCATGTTGTTTGCGTACATAAAAGGAGCTGAGTCAATCAAATGAAAACAAAAATAGTTTTAATTTTTAGCCCAAAAACAACATAGTTTTTGAAAAGTTATATATATATATATATATATATATATATATATATATATATATATATATATATATATATATTATATATATATATATATATATTGCATACAAGCCTTAACAATCAATAAACCGACCCTATACGGAAGGGATTCCATGGATGTTAAAGGCAATAATGCATATACAATAACATTTGTATATTTGTTTGATGAGATGACATTGGCTTTGATGAGCATGTGAAACTAAGATCTATGGCTTATAATGAACATATTCTACGAGGAAATATAATATGAAATAATGCATATTGAAAAAGAATCGCTTCGTATTAAAGTCTCTTATCTTAATCATGTTAATTCTGGTGATCGAGCCCATGTTATTTTTTCGCTTATAGATGACAAAATTGGTAGTGTAAAGTACTACTAATATCTTAAATATGAATTATAGAAACCATCACCAAGATATTGATGATTTTTTATAAACTAAAGTGATTTTGAAGATGGTAAATAATCCAGTATATTTTTGGAGACCTTTTGATAGTTTGACTCATTTCTTTTTAGTTACATGCTTACTCTACCAATTCGACACATGAAAACTTATAGCTCTAGGAACTCACTTTTAATTGAAATAGCTTAAAAACTCATTCTATCGATTTGGGTTCAAAAACTACCATACAACTTCATTTTTACCACAACCTGAATCGCGAATGGTGCTATTCTAATTGATCGTGAACATTGTTGGAGTATCTCACAAGCTGGATTCAGTTTGTAGAAAGTATTGCATGTGCCATATGCCATATTTACACAAAAAGCTGTATGAAGGGGTCTCAAAGATACCTTGAACTTAAGGAACTTAACTGTTACATGATAGATTATGAAGATTCATGCATTCATTTAACTATATATATATGGAGATTATCAGTGTCAATAAGCACCAATTGTCCAATTCAATACGTTGATAACAATTCAGTATACCTTTCCATTACACTCTTTAGAGTTTTAAGTCTGGGCTGCAATGGCTCAGTCAATGGTTTGTCATGTTATGTTAGTTGTGATATTCATACTGGTGGCTCTTGCTGAGGCACAAACTCCACCAGGAATTAACAACCCTAGCCATGCAACTTGTAAGGACCCGAGTTACAAAGAATGTCATAACTTGGTGCATGTTTGTCCTAAGTTTTGTCCAGATAGCTGCACTGTTAATTGTCAATCATGCAAACCTGTTTGTGGTGGCGACAGTGCACCATCACCACCAGAGATAGAACCACCTCCCACTGTTACTCCATCGCCACCAGTGTACACACCTCCAACACCAACACCATCGTCTCCCACCACACCTTCACCACCAACAGAGTACACACCACCCACTATTCCTCCACCAATAGAGCCCACACCCGCAACACCATCTTCACCAATCCCTTCACCTCCAACTCCCTCTTCACCACCTCCCACCACCCCATCATCACCAACAAAGTCCACACCCTCCACTACCCCTTCTCTACCAATAGAGCCCACACCTCCAACACCACCAACGTCATTACCACCTCCACCAACCCCTTCACCACCTCCCACCACCCCTTCACCACCTACAGAGTCCACACCACCCACTACTTCTTATCCACCAATAGAGCTCACACCTCCAACACCACCAACGTCATTACCACCTCCACCAACCCCTTCACCTCCAACTCCTTCCTCACCACCTTCCACCACCCCTTCACCACCAACAGAGTCTACACCACCCAATACTCCTCCACCAATAGAGCCCACACCTCCAACAACACCACCGTCGTCACCGCCTCCACAAACCCCTTCACCACCAACTCCCTCCTCACTACCTCCTACCACCCCTTCACCACCAACAGAATATGCACCTCCGACACCAACACCATCTTCACCACCTCCTATCACCCCTTCACCGCCAACAAAGTCCACACCTTCCACACCACCTCCCACTGTTCCATCACCACCAACAGAGTCCACACCTCCAACACCAACACCATCCTCACCACCTGCGACTACCCCTTCACCTCCAACAAATTCCACACCTCCAACACCAACACCATCCACACCACCTCCCACCACTCCATCACCCTCACCTCCCACTGCCCCTGCACCACAAAAGGAGTCAACACCACCAACACCATCATCACCTGCACCTCCTACATGGTCCAGTCCACCTCAGCCAAAGAAAGTCAAGTGTAAAAACAACAACTACACAAAATGTTACGCCTCCGAGCATGTCTGCCCTGCTTCTTGTCCTGGTCAATGTGAAGTTGATTGTGTTTCTTGCAAGCCAGTTTGCAGTAAGTTCTTCATAACTCTAATTTTTCTTTTTATTCATAAATACTAAATATTCATTTATCTTAAGAGTCACATTGACATTGTATCTAATGAGGTTTAATTCCATCATTTACAAATTAATTCATGCCATGGTTCAATATTACATTTAAACATCTATCAATGAATCTCATAAGTGTTTGTATATCTGTCTTGTAAATTACAGATTGTGATATGCCTGGAGCAGTGTGTCAAGATCCTCGTTTCATTGGTGGTGACGGCATCACTTTCTACTTCCATGGAAAGAAGGATCAAGATTTCTGCCTTGTTGCCGATAACAACCTCCACATCAATGGCCACTTCATTGGCAAGAGAAACAGAAACATGGGAAGAGACTTTACTTGGGTCCAATCAATAGGGGTTCTTTTCGACAACCACAAAGTACAAATCAGTGCTCAAAAGACTTCTTCTTGGGATGACACCATTGACCGTATCTCTGTTACATTTGACGGGGAAAACATCTTTATCCCAAAAAGCGAAGGTGCCAAATGGCAATATTCTACGACATCAATCACTAGGATTCATGACACCAACCATATCGTTTTCGAAGTTGAAAACCTCTTCAGGATCACAGCCAAAGTGGTTCCAATAACCAAAGAAGAATCAAGAATCCATAACTATGACATAACCAGTGACGATTGCTTTGCTCATCTTGATCTCAAGTTCAAGTTCTTCTCCTTGAGTAACAAAGTGGACGGAGTTCTAGGACAGACATATAGGACTGAGTATGTAAGCAAGGTGAAGATGGGGGTGTTAATGCCTGTGATGGGAGGAGATAGTAAGTTTGTGAGTACAAATTCATTTGCGACGGATTGTTCTGTTGCTATGTTTAAGGGTAGTCAGGAAGACGGTTCCACATTGAACTTACAGTTGCCAAGCTTGAGGTGCCAAAGTGGTTTAGAAGGGCGAGGCGTCGTATGCAAGAGATAAACTTTTCTTTTTGTTGTTACGTACTGACAATACTGGTGTAATAAAGAATAAAGAATTAATAATAAAATCATGGAACCTTCCATGATATTGTAAACTATTTGATTTCCACCCGTCATTATCAACATTCTTTCTTCATCACGTTGCACATTGGTTTTGTACTTTTGTATGTGAACTGTGAGGCTACCACAGTGATAGAAAAGGATGCAAAAGGAATGAACTAATTAAGCGACTGAAATTGCATCCGTATAGTTAAGAGATTATCGATGGCCAATTATGTATTGCTAATTTTTTGGTATTAGGGACGGATTATCCAAAAGTGAGGGAGCACACTATCAGTTTTAGGTCGCTAAATAGGGTAGGTATTTTCCGTCGCAATGATTTCTGTGGTAGTCCTGCCATTTTTTACCTTTTGGGTTTCGCTTTATATATTGTAGTGGGGTTCAAACTTTTTGCACGTATATTTTGTCATTTTGAACTTCATATAACGTTATTTGTTGCGTTTTTTTTGTACTGCTGCAATGCATGACACTTATAATATTTTTTTATTGATCGCTTATATATAACTCCACGTGAGCCAACTTTTGTTGAGCTGTCAAAGAATTTCAGGCTCAAGCAATACTTACAAAGTATCCTTAGGTCTAAGACCTAAAGGTGACTTACCATATTTTATTAATACCATGTCACTTTGTGTCTCATCTTATAAAAATGTTGATCATCATACCATACCTATCATAATATATATATTTTTATGTATAAAGTACTAGAACATTTGAAAGAGTATCTTTTTTCCCTTGTGGTAAAATTGTAACACATTATATACATATCACACTTTTGTTTGGGGTTGGTGCGGTGTTTACCACATACCGTACTATAGCGTGGTATGCGGTATAGTGTACACTGTATGGATTAAGGGCATCCTTTCACTTTTATTTTTTTTCTTGTTATATGGTTACTGTCTTTTCACTTTTATAAAATGTCTGTTATCTCTTCGATCTCCATACCGATGCTTGTAGGGAGATGTATTGGTCCAATTGCAGATAAAAGGGGCACACTACCATGTTATGTAGGTCCCCAACCCAAGTGGCCAACCAAACTTCCAACTTAGGAGCAACCCGCTCTTGCTATGGATGTGGAGAGATAGGACACTTCAAGAAGGACTGCCCATAAACAAAGAATCCAGGTGGAGGAGGACAAGGTGGGGTGTTGACCATGGGAACAAGAGAAGCAATGCAGGAGCCCATCGCTATAACTAGTACGTTCCCTATCAATAACTCCTATGCCTACGTACTTTTCGACAATGGTGCCGAGAAAAGCTTTGTTAGTCATAAATTCAAACAAATACTAATTCAGAACCCACAAACACTTAAGGAAATCTATACAGTAGAGATGGCTAATGGACGAACCGAAAACACTAAGGAAATTTACCTAAACTGCACCCTAACACTAAATGACCACACCTTCCAAATCAATTTCATGCCTATGACTATTGGGAGCTTCGACATAATAGTTGGCATGGATTGGTTAACCACTCAACGCGCCGATATCATGTGTCACGAGAAGGCTGTCTGACTCAACCTACCAAACAACATAACCCTCATGGTATAAAATGAAAAACAAAGCAAGGGCTTCCGAATCATCTCGTGTATCAAGGCGTATAAGTACTTGCACAAGAAGTATTATGTGTTTCTAGCACACATAGTGGACCAAAGAAAGAGGTTAAGGAAATCATGGACACACCATAAGTCCGTGATTTTACTGATGTGTCTCCAGAAGTCCTTTCGGAATTACTGCCGGTCCAACAAGTCAAGTTCAGAATCGATATAATCCCAGGAGCAGCCCCCGTAGCAAAGTCTCCATATAGCCTAGCCGTGGGAAAGATGCAAGAGTTGTCTTACGTTGTTGAGCACTGATTAGATAAAGGGTTTATCAGGTCGAGCTTCTTACCTTGGTGAGCACTGATTCTATTTATAAAGAAGAAATATGGATCCTTTAGATTGTGTATTGACTACCGGGAACTGAACAAGCTAACCATCAAAAACCGATATCCACCCTCCAGAATTGACAACCTATTCGATCAGCTACAAGGATCCAGCTACTTCTTAAATATTGATTTGAGATCTGGATACCACCAACTTAGAGTTCAGGAAGAAGATATTTGGAAGACAACGTTCAGAACTTGATATGGTCATTACGAGTTTGTAGTAATGCCATTCGGACTAACCAATGCTCCAGCGATGTTCATGGACCTTATGAACTGCATATATAGACCGTATCTAGACAAGTTCATGATTGTATTCATCGATGATATATTCATATACTCACAAAATGAAGAGGAGCATGGTCAGCACTTGAGATCGATACTGTAGTTATTACAAAATGAGAAATTGTATGAAAATTTTTCTAAGTGTGAGTTCTGGTTGCGGAATCATAAATTTCCTAGGGCATGTGGTCTGTATGGATGAGATACATGTTGACCTATCCAAAATAAAGGTAATAGAGAATTGGGAAACAATAAGAACGCCAATAGAGATACACCAATTCTTGGGTCTTGCTGGCTACTATCGGAGATTCATAAAGAATTTCTCTGAAATAGATAAACCTTTCTCGATGCTAAGCCGAAAAAGGGTGTGTTTCAACTGGGAAGGCAAACAAGAGAACGCCTTTCAGATGTTGAAGCAAGCTTTATTTAGTACACTAATCCTATCCCTCCCATAAGGCACGGAGGACTTCATTGTCTATTGTGACACTTCAAAACAAGTGTTGGGATGCGTGCTCATGCAAAGAGGAAAGTTCATCGCTTATGCTTCTAGGCAACTCAAAGCCCATGAAGTCAACAACACCACCCATGATCTTGAACTTGGGGCCGTAGTATTCATATTGAAGATTTGGAGACATTATCTATACGATACCAAGTATACAATATTTACTGATCACAAGTGAAACACTCTAAATTTTAAACCACAATTTTCATTTTAAAAACACATAAAACTCAATGCCACATTTCTCAAAAACCACAAATGTATCAATTGTCAAAAAACAAATCAACAAAATAACTGATAGTATCCTGAAATCCTCGAACATATCTCGAACAGGTGTGTACAATTAAGCCGATGCCTTCCTGCGATCCCGAGGAGTACTTGAAACACATATCGCACAACACGGTAAGCACGAAGCTTAGTGAGTTCTCCAAAATACAACATACACCAATAATAAGCTTCTCATGGCTATAGCTCGACATGGACCCTCTGGTCATGCATCTCGATGAGGAACCTCCGGTCTCACAGCTCGGTATGGACCCTCTGGTCATGTGTCTCGTTGAAGACCCTCCGATCTCACAGCTCGGGTTGGACCCTCAAGTCATGTCTCTCAGTAAAACCCTCCGATATCACAGCTCGAGTTGGACCCTCCAGTCCTGTATCTTTGTAAAGACCCTCCAGTCTCATAACTTGGGTTGGACCCTCTGGTCCTACTCAGTAAGGTACAGAATAATATAACATATATCACAAAGACAAAATACATAATATCACATAACTCAGTATAAGTACATAGGATCCTCCGGTCGATAACTCAAATAAGACCCTCCAGTCACATAATATTACCGCTCAGGTAAGTAGAGTGAGAAGTCTCGCCTCGCAGAGTAAAACAATATATTCCACACTCGAACTACTGGTCTAGACTTCGCCTTCCATAGCCTCCAATATCCACAACTTAACCAAACCCTAAAGTCAACGGAAGTCAACGGTCAAAGCCGACCCAACTCATCGAGTGCAACTCATCTACCCATCAAGTTCCTCAGTGCTCAGTAAATCACGAAAACTCGAGTCAACTCACCGAGTTGCTAGCTAAGTCATCGAGTGCATGCAGAGTCCAGAAGATCGGGGAAAACCCTAGCCACTCGTCGAGTTTCTCCACTCACTCGTCAAGTTTAGTCTTAGTACAAAACAGGAAAACTCGACTCAACTCATCGAGTTGGGTGCCCAACTCGTCAATCCTTTCTCATTAAACTCATTCCAGTCGATTCCAATGCTCCAAACCCCAGATCTAACCTCCAAGGATAAACTTACCATGTACAGTTGCTAACTTTACGATCATGCAATGCCTCACAAGGGTATAACACCCAACACTAAGCTCAAGAAGGGTTTAGGACATGAAGACATGTCAAAGCTTTGTAAAGCTTGAAACTTTATGTACATGGGACCTAAAGAAGTACAGATCTAAAACTCATACCCTTTGGCCAATCTTAACTCGTGAATAGCGCTTATTTTGCACCAAAAGCCCACAAACTCACATAAGAAGTGATCTAAGGAATAGAAAGGCAAGGTAGAGATTGTTTTTTTTACCTCCTACTAGATGCCAACATGATGTGGATGCTGCATCTACAAGCTTTCCCTCGTTGCAAGCCTCTAGGTCCTAAATCTTCTTCAAGGAATGCTCCAAAAGCATGCTTTTGGTCTCTCTCTCTTACACACACACACTTAGCTTGTTAGGGTTACTCTGTAGACATGAATGGTGGTAAGGGAGACGAGTTAAAAGGCTTAAGGTCCTTTAAATAGGCTGCACATCCGAGAAATAAGGGTTTCATCACACAACCTCAACTTGTCGAGTCCATCCTTCCAACTCAATGAATAGGCTTCCTAACCCACGCGTCCTGATTAACTCCTACATGATGAGTTGGGGCCAACCAACTCGTCGAGTTGGCCCTTCAATCTTGCATTAAATCCTTAAGTTCCACATCCAGGAAATCGGGGTGTTATAATTCTCCCCAACTTGAATTAGATTTCGCCATCGAAATCACTCTTTATCAACATACCAATTGAAACAAATAACCTGAGAAGCACTACTGGGAAAATCTCATACCATACAACAATCTGCTTCCCAAGACATCCAAACTGGCAGGAACTCCTAACCCGAAAAGGACTGACCCCATTTCCATTGCAGTATCAGCTCTTACTCTTCAGAACTTAGAACTGTAGTGGTGTGTCTCCCCAACAGACTGCCCA